TAAAGGCTCACCCCGTTACATATCTGGTAAGCTAGAACAAAGGCTTGCTCAGCTACGGACTCGTAATCGAGGACAAATAAGGACACAACTAGTCCTCCTAGCCTTGATACAAGAGGACGAAACGACTTGTCACTTTTCATCGTAGTTTTCGTCTAGACTTACATTAACTTCGACATCTACAGTAGACAGATGACCCTGGTGTGACAAGCTTACCGCAAATATACCTCAAATGAGAGTAAACAACAGGTATCGATCAGTCTCTCATGCTTAGCACGTCGGTGCCAGTAACAGCTCGTGATACACTATCTCGATGTTGCAACTTGCGTTGTCTTGCGTGTACGCTGACTGCACCAAAGTGTGTCATTGTTCACACCAGGAAACGCGTACGAGTACTAAAAGACGAGCGCATTTGTATGCCACATAGAACCAGCTGCTCGTTATCTGTTCTTCTCAGCGTCATGTGCACTTTAATGATGGCCCACTGTTCATTTCAATCGCGTCAAAGACAAGGGCGGTGGTCCGGGATGTCATCTCTAGCTAAACTAGAAACAATCGATGTCAAGGCTTAATCCACCAACTTTTTTACGAGGCATCACGTTACCGGACGTGAGGCCCTTTAACCGGAGCTTTTCGCCCGCCACGAAATACCTCCATACCTGCGCTGCTTTACACTAGATATGACACCGAGCGACCAAGCCGGTACTTACAAGCTCCAGCGGTTTTATTATGGATTGTCATTTCTGGATTTGTGACCGCAGCGTCGGTCGATATCGGCTTTACGACATACACGTTAATGGCCCGAAGCAACTGGCTGTCAACATATCCGAATGCGGTCGTTGAGTTAGCACAAAGGACCTGTAAAAGTCAATCAATTCGCTTACTTGCGTCCAATTGGCCATGCGACGCTGGGCGACAGCACTCCGTGGCCTCGCGGTCAGTAGCCTCTTCCTCGAGGGAGACAGCAGCAGCAGCGATCATACGCTCGCACTATGGCCGCAGGAGATCGATGCAGCGCTGTCACTGTCATTGCATCCGAGTATGTGTATGATGAGTTGGCGTCGCTCACCTCTTCACTCTCTCATTGTTCAAGCGATCAGTGAGTGGGACACGTACTGATGATTGCGTTTGTGAGCTTCTCTAGATGGCTCGTCCATTGTCAAAGCCTCGCACGGAGGAGGTCTCTTCACTTACGATGCAAAAGTTGACGTCCAGTCTGAGGTGCGTTTCCGACACTCTTTCTGGACCATAGAATGAACGGGCGTTGCAATGTGGTGGCGACTCACGTGTGTATCGGTGATCAGATACCTTTGGACCCCCTTCTCGAGTCGATCGAGGTAAGAAGCTTTCACCTCGCACGTGAAATGCAGCGAGGTTGACGAGTCTTTTCTTGCTGCTCTAGATCATGTGGATTCCAGCGACTGACGTCCAGAGTTCGACGTTTGATCGCTTTTGGGTACATTCGATACGATTGGACGGGATGAGTGCAGTGGGTATACGCCTACAAACCACGCTGAGGGCGGGAAATTCGTGGAGCTCTATTACTGCAGAGCATACTGAAAGAGTCGAGGAAAACATCCGTGGAGTTTTACGCGCCGTTCTACCCTCGGTCGAAATTCTTCCTGGTTTGTCCAAAGGTGCGGTCGGTGTCGCTAAGAGAGTATGGTATACACATGTTGCAACAAGCGACTGACCTATCATTTGCTGTAGGATTTTTGGCAAAGTCGCTGTGCAGTTTCTGGTCCTGGAAAACAAGAAATCCGCTTCAAGAGACACTCAACGGGTCTGGAACCGACTCACCGATTCTTTGCTACACTTCGTCCTTTCCGTTGTCTCTGCACAACGAAGGCTCAGCATACCCTGGCAAAGCCATACGTGAGGCTAGCGGTAGCCTGGTTGACTCACTGACGTCGGTTGAAGTTGCACTGCTCAAAATCCACCAAGTAAAGCAGTCCATCAACGCAGAGGAACACTCACCCCGATCGACTGCGATAAAGCTTAGTCGTAGCTCAGGTTCTCCAGCGACCATTGAGGCAGAGGTTTTTGAGGTATGGATATCGCCATTATCCAAAGCGAATGAACCCTGGAAGACCGCACTTCCAGCGTGCGGGACCGAAATCGGTATCTTGGTAGTGACATCAATCGATCGTGCGTCGGATCTTGATCGACTTACGTGTGATTGGATCTGCACGAGGGGCGAGCGGGATACGTCAGGAGTTGTTCGATCCGTGGTGGAAATGCAAGTGCCAAAAACAGCGGTGGCTGCCTCGCTGCAGACCGCTATCAAAGGGAAAGGTTTCCATCGCCAGCATGTAATAGATGTGAAGCTTCTTGAAAACAGCAGTTGCGGTGCGAACGCCGTCAACAAAACCATACTCGTGCGTGTGTCGATTTCAAGCACCGCCTATGTCGACTTGGACGAAATACGGGTGAGTCCGAGTTTGTCATCATTGTTTAAAGCGCTTTCTAACGTCCGTGCGTGTGCGCACTGATTTTTTGTCGCAGAGAATGGCACGCTTTGGTGATCTCGAACTTCTGTCCTTTGCAAAGCATATCGACATCGAGCGGCCGTCGCCAATTTCATCGCAGCACGTTGTTGGACTAACGTTTACTATGTTCGTCTCTATCGTTCTTTGGTTCGCTCTGACTGATGAACACTTTCTGTGGCTCACGAACTTCTGGTTTATGATTTTGCCTCAGGCCATCAACTGGCCACGTTCATATCGACTTTCCGCTTCACTTCCGGTATCAAGCTCCATCCGAGAACGAGCTGTACCGCCGCGCGTTCGTCATTGCTCCTGATGTATATATGTTCTGTCCAGAAGGCGATCGTTCCGTCAAGAGAGAGCTGAAACCGTCGAAAACCGATGCCACGCACAACTACCTCCATGTGAGCAAACTCGTTTCTTATGGTGAGTGGGATTGCTGTACATTGACTTACCTGTGTGACCGATAGACGTGGGGACTGCTTGGACTACCTGACTCAGCAATCGCCAACCACTACTGGCTGCATTTGTCGACGAAACTTCCACGTCCAGTAGCGGAAGTATCCATACCTGTCGGCTACCTGCCGTCAGATTGGCTTGTAAGCTCTGTTACTCTACTGTTTGCTAGCATCGGCGCAGCGCTGCTTTGCTACGTTTCAGTTGGCGCAAGTGCACGAGCTCAGGGCCACGTTGCGAGCAAATGGAAAGGGAAAACAGACTGAACAGACGTAGTCAGCTAAGCGCGTCTACGGCAGCACGTTGTCATGTCTTCTGCGCAAACGCTCGTGTTGCTATCACCATGTATACGTACGTATGCACACATGGATACCTGTCGCGCTGTGCTCGCCTTGATAAATGAAATAATTAGCCGTGCGTCACCACATGGCGCTGCGTTCTGAGCTGCTCAGCAGCTGTAGTTTTCCTCCGTAAGCAGGCGTAGCGTGAGTGTTGCGTGATCCAGCACAGTGACAGTGTATCGGTTCATACGTCGAGTCTGCAAGTCGCGCGTGATTGGCGTCGGTGGAAACGACCCCGGGGTGACTGCATCATCCATGTAGTAGTTCTCCATGTCTCGGTCTTCGTCCTCGCATCCGCCGAGGGTGACGGTGGCGCGAAAGAGATTCGCGGCTACGTTCGAGTGCATCATCTTGGCCATGCGACGCGACATCTCCGACGGCATGGACGAGTCCTGCTCCATGTACTCGACCGCCCAGCCCGGTTCAAACACCTCGTCGCTTCTTCGTCGGCCAGTCTCACCCCTTCGGCCTTCCGCCTCGTAGTCAGCATCCCCCTGTAGACAGCGCGCAGCTCCACTGTGCTGCACGAGTCGATGGCTCGAATCCAGAAGATCCACTGGCGACGTACACGGCGTTTGTGTCTGCCCCTTCTCGGTCGCGTCCGCGGCAAAGAACATCCGCTGGAGTCCAGCAAACAGGCGCTGGTAGAACCGCTGGACAAGATGCTGCTCCCGGTCCTGCTCGTGGTCGTCATTGGAGTACGTACAGCAGTCATCCCCCCGACTGAGACAATGTCTCTCGTGTGGCGCCTCGTCGAGCGGTTCGTTGGCCACGAGCGACGTCCAGAAGTCCGTGAACTGGTCGTCCGAGAGCGCAATGACCGACTCGGCGACGCGGTCGAGCGAGTCCAAAGCGGCAACGGGCAGTCGCGTCTGGAGCGCCACGTACCACTGGACCACCGACGAGGCGCAGTACTTGGCACAGCTCCGGTCGACCTGGTAGAGCACAAACGCCAACGTGCGCAAGAGCGACTTTTCGACCGCGAGGACAACGGCCATTGCGCCACTGGGGGAGCCATGGGCAGCACTCGCTCGAGCGGACGAGGGAGACGGCAGTGGTGGGACGGCGCTGGGGCCGTGGCAAACGGCCGTGGCGCTGGGCATAGGCGTGAGCAGAGAGGGCCCGCGGCGGTGTCGGCGCTCGGGAGCTCTTGAAGTTGATGGCCTGAGGCTGAAAGTGGCGAGCGATGGGCGAGCGGTCTGTGCTCGGGCGCCCTTCGAGCAACACGTACGAACGGTCGTACGTGGCGCAGCTGACCTTATTTTTCGCTTTTTGCGGCTTGCGTCGCTGAGTGAGTACAGGATAGGGGGACGATGGAGGGGGCAGAAAGGGACGGCTTGGCTCTGGCCTTGGAAAGGGACGTGGCGACTTTACCGCTTACATCGTGGTGCGGTGTCTGTCGATGATTTAGAACCGTGTCACGTTTGACCACGTCGCACATCGAAAGTCTGCTGGAAGACTCAGAACTGGTCGACCAGCGCTGTTTCTGATGACAGGACCCGCGGGTCAACCCGTTGTGCGAAGTCTTGCATTGCATTGGTCCATCCAGCCGGCCAGCGAAAATCCATGCATTTATCCCAACTTACCGTCGTGTTTCCTCCTTTATCCATCGCTTGGACCGTACCCAGCTTTTATCCACAGCATCCCTCATTTATCCACCACTTTTGACTACTACATACATACTGCATCTTAACTTTCCATCGATCAAACAGAAGCAGTGATGATCGTCCAGAGTCCCGCCGCCGTCCGCTCGCTGTTCTCCAGCGCTGTGTCCACTCGCGCCCTGCGCAGTCGCTATCCGATGCTGATGAAGCGTACGGTGCGTACGGTGCGTCCAGTGTCTTCGCCGTCGTGGGGCGCGTCGTTGACTGTACCCTACAGCTCCTCCTCGAGCGCGCAGAGCGTATTTGCCACGAGGTTTCAGGCGCACACGTTTGCATCGGTCCCCAGTCGTGATGAGGAGCTACTGAGCAGTGGCAAGAGCAAGAACGAGCAGATTCAGGCGCTGCTGGAGGAGAATGCGGCCCTGAAAAAGGAGATCGAGACACTGAAGACGGAAGCAGCTAAGAAACCCGGCAAGTTCTTGGGCACACTGCAGCAGTACGGTCTCCCGTTTGTCGTGTGGTGGACATCCCTCTACCTCGCGTCTGGCGTGTCCATTTACGTGGCCCTGGACACTGGTGTCATTTCAGGTGCCAGCGTAATCGACTTTATCATGCAAGTGGGTTTGGACAAGTTCATTGACCCGGAACGACTCGACCCGACGTACGGGAACATTGCCATTGCAGTGATTGTGAACGAGTGCCTTGAGGTCGTTCGCTTTCCGATTACGCTGGCAACGCTGCCCTACGTGAAGCGCGTCTTTTCCCGCAAGAAAGATGAAGAAGTCAAGTAAGGCAATGGATTGCCGCCTCCTGTGTGGAGTCCGAGCATCTTTTAAACAGACGCGCGGAGAGAGGAGGGTGCTTTTGGGACCACGCCAGTAAACGATGAGATGTTGAGGGGCTTTTGCAGGTTTTACCGGAAGAAAATAGACCCGTCGTATTGTCTTGTTTCAGATCGGATAGGACCTAATTGTCAGTGCTTGTTGGAGTCGTCTTTGATAGAGCCGATTACGCGTGATGATCATCCATCCGAGTGCGATGATGTTGACGCCTACCGCTTGTATCGGGGGGAGCTTGTCACATGTCATTGGCACGAATTGTATGAACATATATAGTATCAAATAGCTAATATTCAACAATATTACCCTTGCGAGTCAATCTTGTTGGAATATTACCATTTCATGTAATATTTGGCATGGCATCACATTTGGTTGATGTAGGCCATGATACCAACCGAGTAAACCAGCAATCAATGCTCGACGCGCGCAATGGGTGATGAGAAGACGTCACAATGCATGTTCGAAAGTAATTTATGATTAGGTTCGGATCATTGAGAAGAAGAGATTTGGGGACTTGAGTATATTTGATACAGTTTACTTTTACCACTTCCAAGTTCCACCGTCTTTATATTTAGCCTATATCTGTATTGTGTAAGTGAGGTGATGGGGCACTGATAACCTCCACTGTCAGTAAGAATTTGCTCCGTAATTTCCATCAGTATGTAACTACCGGTGCCCCGTTACACCTAATAGCACGTTTTAGTCCTTCCAAGTGACCACACAAGTCGCTTGACCTGTTCATGTTGGACGGTGATGGCGACAGAGTTCACGCCACGCGTGAAAGCTACTCGTATATAAGTGACATTGAATGAAGTGCGGTCAAACTCACTTGTTCGACCGTGGGCAAAGTAGGTGTCTGGGGCATGCTGTCCGCATCGGATAGGAACACACAGCCATCCGTCATCTACAAGCTCGCACAACGTGAACTTGATGCGTCACGAGCAGAAAAAACTTGCTACACCATCAAGAAAATTAACAGGCAGAGCTGTTGAGACAACAACAGGATCAGTCTGCTACCGGGCCGACGCACGCGCGCCGACCCGAAACTTTGAAGTTTGACATCTCAAGGAAAGCAGGAGTCAAGGAAGACTTCATGTAAAGATTGTTTGCCGATTTGGACGAAATCATCAGCGCTCGTCGTAAAGAGGACGAGTTAATGCACGTTGAATTAATTCATATGAACCTAGCATAATGTGCCAAAATTTTGTTTTTTCAGCTCAAGTTGCACTACCCACACGTGTTTACGTCGTTATAGGTCTTTGAGATCCGGGATCTGACAAACGTTTGGGCCACCACGGTCAGAGTTTGATGCTCGATCAGATCTCCTCAAATTTAATCAGGGCAAGCGTGACGGTCGAGCTTACGCTTAGCACATTCGCTACCTTACGAGTTGCATTACGATTGAACCGGTTCAGTTACGAACAATAATTACGGTATCCATGCAGATTCTTACAGAAAGTTTTCGTTAGAAGCCACCTGTTTCGCCTCGAGCTGAATTACGAAAGAGCAAGCGATCATAGCTGCGGATCAGTAAAACGTTAGAATGACACATACTTGTTCAATTACAAGATTAATTCGTCCACCTTGACAAAAAGAGGTCGGAAGGCGAGATCCTATGGTCCTTCGTCACGTTGAGAGAAAGAGAAATCGCCTTTCAAACAGTAATTGTTCTCAGACGTGTAATCGCTGTCAAAGGTCAGGGCACTACGCTTACGAGTGTAGCGTACTACGTGCAGTATTTCGCAATACTTAGCGAAGTGATCGACCGCCTGCCAAAACGGGCAGCGGAAGTGGTTCCGATGGTGCTATGAATTTGCAATAGCAAAGCGGACCGTCAAAAAACGGGTAGGGTCAGAAAGGGCGGAGCAGCCTACTGATCTAGCAACGTCAAGATAAATTGCAATTCTCTTGAAGAAAATTGCCCCAGACACAAATTCATTGTGTGTCTCTACACCTATTGATGAGGTATCCTTCATTACTTTGAACTTAAAAGTGACACAGAAATTGTCACTTCGTGACCTTGTCGACTGTAAGGAGTTGAGAAATCTAATTTGTCGCCAGTAACTAGAGCGAATTAAGCTCATGTTTGTCTAGCGCGACATCCTTCTTGCGAAGAGGACGGTGCGCCAGGCGTATCGATAAAAGTAAAGAAACTAATAGTATGAATCCACTACACATAAATAGATGAACAGTACGATCACGAGTTTATCGTACTTGATCTAAATGAAATTTTTTGATGTCATCTTAAGATTGCGCTGGCTTAGGAGGTAAGAGAAAAGGGTGAGGTGGAAGAATCGAAGGTTGAAGGTGTCTACTGCTTGTTCATGAGATAGTCATCTAATGAGCGTCTTTGAGCTCCCACAAGCGTGTGGGTGCACTGCGAGTGAGTGAGATGTCCTCCCTTTTGGTACGGTTGTCAGCACGACTTCACAAGACTTCAGTGTAGTAAATCACTACACTGTGGAGCAAGGTCCCGGTGGCTTAGCAGATGCACAGGCATCACCAAAGGTCCGCCACTTGAATAAGTCGAGTGGACCGGGGCATGGGTACATGCCTAGAGCGCTGCATAAATGGAATACACAGGTTGCCTAAACTCGGCACCACGGTGATCCTAGGTCTACTGGAGCGTCGAACGTAAAGGGATAACTTTGGCAGTGTAATAACATCCAAAGAACGTCACAAATAAAATACTGTGTACTTAAGGAATGAATTCCTGAATATGTTGTTGTCGAGGGACAAGCCCCTCGGCATCCTCCAAATATATCTTAACAGAAAGAAAACGCGACATTGAATGTCTTTGTTGATTAAGTGTAACGCAAATCCTCTTACACGCTTGATCTGATTGCACCTCCAAAGTTGACTCTTGTATGACCATACAGAAGCGAAAGGTAATACAGATAGCGCAATCGTGTCGTCTAAGTATTTCTTCAAGGATATATATACACCAACTTTACGACCCATAGTGCATATCCCCCGATGGGCGAGTAATGTATCAATAGCTCGGCGCGTGTGTCTAGTTCGCATATACCTGTTTTCGTGAGGGTCCTACGCCATACACGTGTATGATCCATACAAGAGTGTGAATCTTGGTAAAGAGGAACACATTCGCTTAAGAAACGGTTTTAGCTTATGCTCATCACGCTTCATAATAATATTTGGTATATAAAACGGCAACGTCGGCGCAGTCGACGTCGAAGAAGAAGGCAATATTAGCAATCGTAATGACGCTATTGTTGATACAGATGATGATTACGATGCTGTTATTTTAAGCATCGCCACTGACTATACCAGCGATATAGAGGATGTTGTAGCTAAAGTAGAAGCTAAAGAATGAGGACAAAGACAGAAAGAAAGAAAAATAGAGAGAGAGAACTCTTATCGTAGTGCGCACGAAGTGCACTAAATAGAACACAGTCGATGTTGACTTTGCATATATGTGCGTGCAGGAGAAAAGTGCGCGGATGTAATTGTTTTTCAGACTGTATGTTACCGTCGTGCTCATGCTAAATACTGCGCTTACTTGCGCAAATCTTATTCACAGCTTCGAGCGACTTTTCGCATCCTGCGAGTTATCGGCTATCGCCCGTTGTGCAACTACGCAGTGTATACAAACACTCTTCTCCTTCCAAAACTCGAGTCAGCAGATAAAGTTGTACTGGCTTGAGAGGAAGTGGTTTGTATCTAGAAGTATTCCATCGGTGACGCGGATGTGTGTGTGTCAGAACCGGAAATCTAATAAAAATGGAAACGAAAATTACTATTATCAAACATAAACGACCTAGTTCTACTGTTATCGGTAAATCTACTAAATATGCAGTGATTGTGAGAACAGTTAAAATTTAATGCTCCGACACATCGGTCCATTTTCTGTACTGCACCAACAAGGCAACGCAAATACGATTAAGCTGCCACGTATGATGCGCACGTATCCCGCGTTTTACGTAAAGGGGTCTCCTCCTGTACCGGTAGTACGAGGTCTCTTTGGCGATGAAGATATCACCCGCATCAGTAAAAAAACATCATAGTAGTGCGTTCGAGATTCAGGCTTTCAGTCTGGTCGTGCAGCGAATAGACGACCCCAAACGAATTGGAAAATAATACACCAGCTGTTGCTATCTCGTCAAATTGAGAATTAATGTCCGTCTGCTTTACCACTGTGCCAAAGCACAATCAGCACGATCATTTGCTCAATTTGATTCATGATCGTCGCAGTATTTTACACAAAGTCGATGGGGGCCCCTCTATACCGCTCGTACTACTTGCTCTTGCGTCAATCAAAGATTGCGCGATACGTCTATTGATATGAAATTTGTCCGACAAAAGATCTCGGTCAGCTCTTTCCGCATCCACCATATCACATCGTAAATTCGCTTTGGCATTTGCTTTCTAGTAGAGCGTATCTTGGGCCACCGCAAATATGAGTGAATTGGACTAGTTACCTCGTCCGGTGGAGTAGGTACCCTCCGTCCTAAGATAGTTGAGAGCCTAGCTCACAGCTTATGGAGGCCGTTCTTGGTCTGAGTAAAATTAGAGCACTAGAAATTTTTGGCGCGGTAGGTCCATTCAAATAAGAATGCCCAGAGCGGTAATAAAGAGTTTGCAAAATTTTATATTCATTCGTACATACTAGCAATATGCACCCCCCTAAGGGCTTATTAGGGAGATAAGCGTATTAACTCGAGCGAGTATAATTGTCAATACGGCTCTAGCAATTTCCTTTCCACTACAAGCAGGGCAAGCCTTCCTCTATCGACAACCGGTACATTTTTACCTTGCGCCTGTTAGTGTTTTCTCCTAGAACTTATTTAAAAATATCAGTATGTATGTTAATCCAAGAGTCACGACCATCAATTTCCATATGTCATGATAATGAACTTCTAGGCCTGTAACAAAAAGTTGTTATCTCGCCAATGACGGTCGTGGCAATCTTAATGTGTGAAAAATACACGCAT